TTATAAAATTTTCTACAAAACCGTGTTTTCTGTTTTTTTGTAACACAAATAATTTTCGAGTTATTCGTTGTCAGTTATGAGACAAAGTGGGACAAAAAAATTGTTCTTTAAAGAGTGTAAATTTGCTAGCTGATATCTCAAAATTGATTTAAGATTTAAAAAAACGAAATGACTGTTTTGTAGGAAATTTTATAAGCTTTAATTTTGTACATAAGCATTTTTTCGTAACACTCATCGTTTTTTGAATACAAKCGAAAAAATATCAAATGGCACTTTTTTAGTTGTAATATTAATAGCTTGCAATTTTGTTTTGTTGGTCTCAWATTTAATACAAAATGAAATAAAATTTACACAGCGTAGTAAATATACAGGGTGATTTTTTAGTTCCTGATTTCTGTGCCGAAAGTGGATAAGATTAAACTTTCTAATTTTCTGATTTAATTTTTTTGGAAGAAAATAATCTTAAAATTCTTTAAAAATGAAATTTGTGATGCTTGTCGTTTATTTTTAATTTTTTGTTTCTGTTTCTATTTTGAATCCCATATTTACTTATTACAMAATAAAATAAGATTTAGACAGCGCATTAATTTACAGAGTGATTTTTTGGAATATTTGTTTGTGAGTAAATATTTTTCAAWAAATCATATTTTTTTCTATACTCAACTTTACAACTTTTTTTAATATTTCCCGAGTGGTTTTTATTTATTTTTGAAAAACTCAAAAAGCAATTCAAAGCAAAAAGTGCACAAGATTGTACTTTTTTTCTGGTTTTCAGATTAAATGTTTTTGAAAAAAAAATATTTCTAAAACTTTAAAATGAAATTTGCCATGTTTTTGCCTTTTTTGCATACAAAATATGAAATTGAGGTTGTTTCCTCAGCTGTTTTTGTTTATTTTTGTTGCAAATGCACTCAAAATGTTAAAAAAAGGATTTAAATTTGTACCCCAGAACAGAATTTTTGATTTCAGGGCTGGGAAATAAACGACTTAACGTCATGTTTTTTTGCTTGTATTACGAAAACGATGTGTGTTACGAAAAAAATGGTTATGTACAAAATTGAAGACTATAAAATTTTCCACAAAATCGCGTTTTTCGCTTTTTTCTATCACAAATAATTTTCGAGTTATTCGCTGTCAATTTACGATTATGTGACAAAAAAAATTGTTCTTTAAAATTGATTTAATATTTTGATTGTGATTTAAGAAGAAAAAATTGTTTTGTAGAAATTTTTATAAGCTTTAATTTGTACATAAGCATTTTTTTCGTCACACTCACCGTTTAACACCTTTTCCGTTGTAATATTAATAGTTTATTTTGTCACATTTGTTAGTCTCAAATTTAATACAAAATGAAATAAAATTTAAACAGCGTAGGAAACATACAGGGTGATTTTTTAGTTTATCTTTTTGACTTTATCATTTTGGAAAAAAATAATCTTAAATTTTTTTAAAAATGAAATTTGTGATGCTTGTCGTTTATATTTAATTTTTTGTTTCTGTTTCTATTTCTAATTTCATATTTTTCTAGTGTGTTTTATTTATTTATGCATTTCGATTAAAATGGTACTAGAATTTTTTATTTTTGTCACACTTTTTTGTGTATTTCGGTATTATTCCAGTTGTGATTATAGCGAGAGGGTTGCCCTAATGATTCCTGACATCTGTTTACAAGTTAATATATGTCAAAGCTCTTCGCCAAAAAGCGCAACGAATTCGACCCGAAATGCAAATGAGCCCCTCATCCCCTGAGACAAATTTATACGATTCCATTATCATCCCATCTACAAACATGATCTCGAATTTTTCGTTTTGTCACATGGTACATTTAGCCCTTGTCATTCCAGGTAAAATCACCATCAGGTTCCCTTTGAACCGTGTTTTTATACCTTCAGAGCTACTGTATTCGCTAAGTACTGACACTTTCACAATGTTGAAAGCTTTTTTGAAGCTCCACAACCGCTCACTCATTTTCTTGGTACCAAGAGTGAAGGTTCCCAACCACCACTCCTCTGGCCCACTCGCAACGAAATTGATATGTTTAAAGTTGTCTAAATTTGTGAATGGAAGGGCGATATTTTAAATCGTCCGACAAAAGCGAATTTACTATTAAGAAGTTGTGTTGAATGCAAACAGAAATTGACACTGTTTGGGACAGTTTTCGGCGAGGGTGACTCGGGATTACCTGCAAATGCCAATAAATTCCGGGAAATTGAGCTGTTTAGGGCATGACAGGGTCGGATTTCGGGATTTATGTTAAAAAAAAATGAGAAAAAATGGACTTAGTTCCTGGCTAGGAGACGAAACGAGATACAAAATTGATGGATTTTTTAGACCCAAAAAAAGTTGTACGGCGGAGTTTAGAGCGTTTTACCGTCTCAGTTTAAAATCGTTTTAAATTAATTAATTAAAAAAAAAATGCAAAAATGTTGAGCTTTACATTTCTAATAAGCCGTGAAAAACGAACGACTAGATGTTTCACGAGAAATACAGGCTTGTGTTTTTTTTTAAATGAAACGCCATTTGTTTCTTGGCATTTTTGGATGTAGCCATTTAAAACAATGTTTTTACGTTAAACTTTTATTAGTCGATTTCGCTTAGTTTTAGAAATAAGACGTTTTTTTTGACGAAAACATGCACTTTTTAAAAATTTATTACACAAAAACTAGAACAGCTATAACAATTTTTTTCTTACTTCTGCAAAGAACAAGGTACAGAATTTAAAGCTGTAGCAATTTTTTAGTGTTTTGCATTTGTAAAGATTAATAAATTAAGAAGTTTGTTAAAAGTTAAATAACTTAAAAAAATTTAAATGGAACCCCTAATTTTTTATTTTTGCATCTAATAGATTGATAAATTGTCGATCCAAAAAAAAACTTTTAATGTCTAGAATTGATGAATGTAAAGATATTTAGCATTCAATATTAATTGTAACAACAATGCCCTATTAATATCTGAGCAATGTTGATATTATAGCAACCATAGATCACTTATAATACTGAAATTCGAATTATTTTATTGTAAAAATAAAGAATAATAGATTCAGTTTAACACAAATGTGATTTTTGAGTGATATTTCTTCTCTTGTGCAACTGTGCACCTTTTGACTACTGAAACAATAGTAATTATTTTTTAATGTTTAACGTTAAATATCTTTTTAGTTATTGATAAACACCTAAAAGTATTTACATAATTTTAGAAAGACAATTTAATAATCTTTTAAATGCAAAAACAATTAATAGGGTGATCCATTTAATTTTTTTTAGTTATTGAACTTTTAACAAACGCCTTTATTTTTTTATTTTTGTAAATGCAACACACTAAAAAAATGTTACAACTTTATAGCTTCTTCTTTGCGGTAGTAAAAAAAATATTTCTAGATGTCTCAGTTTTTGTGTAATAAATAATAAAATAAAAAAATAAAAAAGTGCATGTTTTCCTCAAAAAAACTGTCTTATGTTTAAAACTAAGCAAATCGACCAAAAAAAAAAATTAGCTTAAAAACATTGTCATAAAAATCTACATCCAAAAACGCTAATAAACACATGGTGTTTCATTTAATAAAACACAAGTTTGTAACTTATTTTCGGGACACGCTGTATAGTTGAAAATAATTTTAGGCGATGGACTAGATTAGTTTCTATCAATGTTCTATATATTTTTTTAATTTTACCATTTAAAGGTCACTAATGGACTTTTTCAACTCGCTGGGGACCCTGTATGAGAAAAAAAATATTTAAAACTTAAAATTTGTGCTCCCTTTCATGTTTTTCAAAATGCTGCGAATACGGTTGAAGATACAAGAAAAATGTAAGAAAGAAAGTTGTAGAGAATAAAATTTTCTAGTAAAAAGTTTGCAAGACCATACCTTTATCTTTAATGGTTTAGGCCTCAAAGACGCTCAAAGCCGCTCAAGCGACGGATTCGTTTCATTTTCACTAGTGATTCAGTGCCAGAGGAACACTTTAAAGCAATTTAAACCTAAACCGGTGAAGATAGAAATATGGTCTCGCGGACTTTTTTGTAGCAAATTTTATTCTCTACAATTTTGTTTCTTACACTTTTTTTGTATCTTTAACCGTATTCGCAGCGTTCCCAAAAATATTGGGCGGAACGCAAACTGTTAATTGTTTATAATACTGTTTTCGATATTTTTGAGCACGCTACGAATACGGTTGAATATACAAAAAAAGTGTAGGGACCAAAGTTGTAGAGAATTAAATTTCCTACAAAAAAGTCCACGAGACCATATCTCTATCGTCAACTGTTTAGGTTTAAATTAATTTTTTGTCTCTTGACCACCGGTAAAAATGACACGTATTCGTCACTTGAGCGTTTTTGAACGTCTTTAGGACCTAAACAATTGAAGGGATAGAGGTATCTTCCGCCGACTTTTTTCTTGAAAATATTATTCTCTACAACTTTTTTTTATATTTGTCTTGTACTTTTAACCGAATTTGCAGCATTTTCAAAAATGTGTGACGGGGCGCAAATTACTAAATATTTGAAATTTTTTTAAATATAGTTTTTAATAAAATTTTTGCATTACCTTTATCTCTTATTATTGAGAATTTAATGCTCCTATCTGTCTATATTTTTTTCATTTGCGTTTTGCTCACCGCTATGTAAATACAGCCATTTTTTTATTGCATTGCTCTTAAAACTTAAACGGGAAAGGAACAACTGCGCTATCTGGCCTTACTAACTAGTCCGGTGACAATAGACATTTCAAATAACAAAAATTCCGACAGAGCTAAATTTTGGTCGAGACCTTGGGTACACCATTAGGAATAAAGTGTCAAAAGTCCCCATCGATCCCATGTGTGCTAAAAAAGTTATTCGGGGTCAAACGTCAAAATTTGAGGTTTTTTAGATTTTTTTCGAAAATGGTAAGTTTTATAAAAAAAATGTAGCCCAGACAAAAATTATAGATCTTATTCTTTTTCGTCACTTGAGCCTCTTTGAACGTCTTTAGGACCTAAACTATATATCTTTCCCGGACTTTTTTCTTAAAATTATTATTCTTTACAACTTTCTTTTTTATATTTCTCTTGTTTCTTTAACCGTATTCGCAGCATTTTCAGAAATATGAGACGGGGCGCAAATTGCTAATTGTTTAAAAAAAATTAAGTAAATATAGTTTTCAATAAAATTTTTGCATTACCTTTATCTCTTATTATTGAGAATTTGATGCTCTATATTTTTTTATTTGCGTTTTGCTCAACCGTTAGCCATTTTTTTTATCTCATTGCTCTTAAAACTTGAACGGGAAAGGAACAACTGCGCTATCTGGCCTCACTAACGGGGCCGTTTTGTTTTACATCGTGTCTTTAGATATCCCCATTCCTGGCCCTAAGATAAATTAAAGCGAGGACAAGTTTTTGATGAAATTTTTTGATTGTTACCTTGGGGGTCCGTGGCAGCGCGCCGAGACGGGCCCATGGTGTCCATGGTGCAGATTGCTCGACATCCTCAACTGAAACAAGAGAGATTTTTTAGGGAGGTCTCCGAAACGGCTCTAATTCTAATACACATCAGAGACGGGGTCGGGCTTTAATTTGCGAGGGTCGCGCCCCTCGATGCCACCCTCGATGCTCGTTAGAACGGACGCTGTTATACAACAAAAAAGCTGTCAGGAGTATGTTATGCATATTGCCGAGTTTATTGTCATTGTTGTGTCGGAGCGATTTCCATCTATGTGCATTCCAGACACGATGATTGCTTTTAATGACTCGGGTTATTGATTGATTGATTGACTGACTGACTGATGACTGATCTCGGCGACGACGGCTGCTGCTTCCGGAAATGCGAAATTGAGACCTAAAGGTGGAGGAACAAGAACAAAATTGTTATTTTCTCATAAACCTTAAATATTTTTTTTGTTTTTCTTACGATTACATTTTATTTAAATAACAAAGTCAATCACCACTGGAGATTTTTAAATATTTCTGAAACATAAAAATCAATAAGAAAATAAACTACAAAAAAATGTCTTTTTTTAAAACTTTAAAATAAGGTAAATTCGGGTAAATTTTAATATCTATTCTACGGGGTGCTCCATTTTTATTGCTACAAATTTAACCAGGTGATAGGATATTCAATTCTAAGACAAAAGTTTCCTATAAACATGTATCGAAAAATGCTTGGTAAGGGAGGTACACTCCCTGAAAAAATAGGTTTTTGCTAATATTTCAGAAACCATTTAAGATAAAATTACAAAATTTGGTACAGATGATAATCTTTATACACCTAAACGAATTCAAACATCAAATGTCAAAATTTCTAATCAGGGGCGTCCGAAACTGGTGGGGTTTAGGGTAAAAAAATACCCTATCTATTTTGATTTTGGCTCTAGTTTCTTTAGTTATGCATTGACCTAAATGGTGGTCACTTTGAACAACTCCTTTAGGTTTAGGCAAAATCGTTTAATTAATGTTATTATTGTTACTGTAATGTAATGTTAATTAGTTGAGGTTGATTAAAAAATATGAATTTCTTGCTTTTATTATTCTGTAAATTCTGATTTATTTGAATGTTGTATTGGTGTGTAACATAAATTTTAAATTAATTTTATTCAAAAACAATAAGTCGTATCGACACAAGAGAGACTTTTCTGTGATAAACTATCGAACTTAAGATTTTGT